CCCTCCGGCTCAGCTTGCTCTCATTCTGGGTAAGGACTGTAGGAGAACTCTGGTTTTCATGTCTCCCAGTTTAAAAACTCTACAAAAACTTGACTAATCTGGCAAAGCCACAGCTTTACAAAGAAAATCTAACAGAGCAGAAAACATCCAACATTAAACCAGAACACAGTTCAACATCCATCCTCAGCTGGAGGTCGCAGCTTTGATTTAGAGAAACGAATCATATAAATCCTGCCTTCACGTCCAAAGTCTTCATTTTGTGTAGTCTCAAACTAAATCAGTATCTGTGAGCCAGTGTACACAATTATCCTCATATCAATGTACATGTTTAACCTTTTGCATCGTAGACTGAGAAACCAAAGGCGACACAATCAGTATTTGTAGCGAACCATCATGTTGAGTCGCAGATTCAGTCTGTATGTGAACAGATTCTTCTTTCACAGTTTTTCCAAGTCTGTCTTAAAACAAGAGTCCATATGAACATTGCAAAAGGTGTTGCCAGGCGTAATTGTTGTGTACATCTCATGTCTCTTACAAAATCGTTCCTACATCCTCGGTTGATGAAGGACACAGGACGTTCCTAGGCTGCTATATCGGCTCAGAGGACCGGGGCCGAGCCACGACCGAGGGTGCACGAGGGCATCCTTTGTGGAAATTTTGTTGTGAACTGATGCATCCCTTTATCAGAAATCAGTTGGTGATTGGACATTGTAGTTGAAGGATCTGAGGAAAGGATGTCTCATGTCAATAATGTTTCATAAGGTCCTCTCTACTCACATTTTTCTTGCATGTTTTCCTCGCATCTTAAGTTGGCAGCGGGACTACGACATGAAGAAAAGACAACTGAAGGAAATGACAGTGCTTTTAAGATACATGAAATGTACTCGTTCAGTCTTTTCACACAGGCCCTGAAGAGATCCATTCTTAAATCAGTTTCAGTGTAGGTGGCTGGGGAGAAAGTCCAGGCTTCGTTCTGTGTTAAAACTGCACAGTGTATATGATGCTGTTTCCATAAGATGCTTGTAGTGAGAGTCTGGTTCTTCTCAGTCCACAGGATGCAAATTCACCCCGAAATGTAATGCGAGTCTTAAACACATCCTTTGCTTCTGTGCAGGCATTCCTCCGACTCACTTGCATAGATATGACAGCTTGGGCCGCATCGACGTTGCTGCAGTTCTTCAGCCTCTAGACTTTGTGCTCCCACAGAGGGAGGAGTTCATAGTGCCACCAGCACTGGAGGCCGACATCAGCACGGAGCTCATCAGCCTTGCGGCTGAGACACCACCTAAAGAACCAGTAGGAGATCCAGATGCAGCACTGAGCCAGGCCAGCCCCGGAGACCTCGAGTCTGAGCTGGGTGCTGAACTGCTGGAGCCGAAGTCTGAGGAACAAGACAGACAGACGCTGCAGGAGGAGGACTCTTCTTTGGAGTGACAGACTAGTTTCAGGTGATCGGTCCGTGGAAGGGTTTGCTGCTTCCTGTTTCTCCTCTATAGGTCGACTCTTTGGGTTTGGTTTGTTGGGCTGAATGAGAAGTTTGTAGAATCACTTTGGAATCTGGGAACTGGTGATTGATGATGTAATAGATTGCAAAATGTTTTCATGTTCCACTCTCACTCTGGATGTCCACTGGATGCAGTTAGGTCTGTGTGTCATCAACAGACATGGATACTTTTCATGTTGCAGCTCATTTCTGACTGACACGTCACTGTATGCAGGACATGAATATCAGCAGAAATATTTCTTGTGCTTTACACGCTTCACAGGAGCAGAAGATAACACCACATAGACTCAAAGTGTATAAATAGATGAGAAGAGGAATGAGGCGAGCTGCCAGTAAACATCTCAGCAGCAGAGAGGGGTGCTGCAGGTCGCTGCAGGACACTGCAGGTCACAGAAGAGCTGATGCACACCTCCCAGATCTTAACGCACAGTCTGGACACACATCACACAAGCGGAGCATCCCGCTCCTGTCAGGAGGTGAAACTGGTTCTAGAGACGGTACAAGTAGAAAAGAAAAAGCATCTCCAACATCAGTCCACGCGGTGAACATGCTCCTCAGCAGAGCAACCAAACAGCAGCTTCATCTATTGGATGTCAGGGCAAAAGCCATCTCCCCTGTCTAAGGGATCAGGACAGTGGCTGCAGTCTGCTCATCTTGCTGTCAAATACAGCCGTGTGACTGAATCAACAGCCAGAAAACACGTCCGGCCTTGGTTTCGGTGCCTTTGTGGGTACAGCTAGGAGTCGGTGTCAGCACAGGACTTGCTATCAGGGAAACAGCTCTTCTCCAGATGTTTTAATGTGTCCGGTGCAAGTCAGCAGTGTTCAGACTGGGAGCAGGGGGAGTGTGTTAGCCTGGTTCCACAGAGTCTGTGTGGAATTAGTTTTAACACTGGATCCTCTACAGGATCTGGACTCAGGAGTGACGTCAGAATATATAACCAATGTTAAGATGTGTTTCATGTACATATTTAACAACTATTAATGAATGAAAGTGATTCTGAACCAACCGTGTGTGTGTTTGATGCTGCAACAGCTTTGAGTCAATCTGAACATTTATTGGGTATTAATCGATACATTATATTGATCCAGAGACTTAACACAGAGCATCTGTTGAGTGTAACACAACATTGGTTTGGATTTATGTGTAAAGGAACACAGAGCTTTGTCAGTGCCTTCAGTGTGGCGGAGTTGTAGTTAACACATTTATGGGCCTTTAAAGCCATGATAAATCTGATGCCACTGTCCACTTGTCCAGATGTGTCAGCTCTTCACTTCTTCCTAAACTTCTTGCGGGTGGCGTTGGGGTTGGCTCGTCTCCTGCCGCCTCCACCCTGGCCGTCTCTGATCTGCAGGTTGGCGGCTCGGCTGTAGATGTCATTCTCGCAGAAAGGTGACGCTCCGGCCAGGTAGTCGGGGTCAAAGACGTCGGTCTTCTGACGAGCCTTTTGGGAGAGTCTCTGCTGGGGGAAAGGCTGGTCCTCCGCCAGCTGGGGGTTGTTGCTGTGTTTCCCTCCCTGAGGCAGCGGCAGTGAGTGCTGAAACACACGGTACAGGAGGTTAAGGTAATCTTGAAGTTGAACCAAACAAAAAAGGAAAAACCTCGGGCAGTTTTAGGTGGAGCAAGGAATGTGATAAAAAGGCTTTATTTAATCGGGCATATCATAAAACGCCAACCGGTTTTGACCTCACCAGGTCGCCATCAGGGCGGAGACATAACTGTATACACCTGGTACTAGTACTGAGGAAGTAGTAAAACATTATTACAAGAAAAAACCTACTGGATTTTTTTTAAATGTGATTCTTTATTAGATCTGTACTGTCTTCACTGAGGTGGTCTGGAAATTCAGTTGTATTGGTTTTTCCCCCATTTTCTTTTCTTTTAGGAATTAGAAATTTGTGTGATATTGAACTTTTCATGTTAATGTGGTGTCTATATTGCAGTGATTGTGTTTTTACTATTTACTTAGACTTTTAATCACATTCCTTGCTCCACCTAAAACTGCCTGAGTTTTTCCCCCTCTAACATTATACTTCTATTCATAAGTGAAGACCTAACACTATGAGAAAAGATGTTATGAATATGAGATGGTCTCCTGTTTACTGAGTGCAATGTGCTTCTGATAAATCATACTAATTGTTGCAGCTTTAAAATAGGACCATGTTAACCTAGTACATTTGCAAGTCATTGCTGAGCTAATGTAATGCAGCACGCCTCAGTGCACAGCAGGTCATACTGTAGTGTACATCACAGCAGGTCTGGCCATGTGTGAATGCAGCTGAGGGATTCGAGTCTCACCCTGAGTCCTCTGGGGTTCAGCACTCGGGGGTTTCTGGAGAAGTGCATCTGCATGTTGCCATCCTCCCCGACACTCACCGCCAGCTTCTTCAAAGTCTTGTTTCCACAGTGAGGGCAGAACACTTTGTTCATGTTACTGGTCGTCCTGAAATATAAACGCATTCGGATCAGCACGCTAACCACCAAGGTAACAGTTTGTTTTTACAGCAAACCCTGACAATGGCATACATGCTAGGCCAGGGGCTAATCATGTGCAGACACAATGGCTACATTCACATTACATACTGAAGTGACTCAAATCTAGATCTGTGCGTCCGCCGTCAGAACGGTCAGATCAGAATACATGTGGTCATTTTAACGTCTCCTCCTCTGTACATACGGCCTGTTGTCATCGGCACCTCACAGACCAGTAACAATAAACATGGAGGAGAGCGACGACAGCAACAGGGTCAGTGGAGAGACCAGGACGTTTAACTTGTGGTGGTTTATGGAGAAGCTTCTGATCAAGCCAAACTGGAAGGAACATATCGTAACCCAGCAGTTTGGGAGGAAACTTGGCTGTTTGACTGAAGGGCTGAGACTTTTCTGAGTGATCCTGAATCATTTAATGACGCCATTCAGTCTGTTGGTGCGCTGTACTCACTTAAAGCAGGCATGGCATCTGAGGATGTAGTTCCTCGCCTGTTTGATCACCATCCCATTAACAGAGAGAACATGGAGTCCGATCTGAATCAGAACATTCTGTAAAGAAAAGAAAACCATTTAATGAGCATATTAATCTGGTTTGTCATTTTTCCAGTAAAAAAAAGTGGCAAATTTCTCCGCTTCTCAAATGTGAGGACTTCTGCCACCCGATACTAATTTAAATGTCTGTTGAGATTTTTACCATCGGTCGGACAAAACATCTGTTTGAAAATGTGCCTGTGCTGTTACGGTTTACAGCGATGTTCGTTTTTTACCAAAACAATTACTGATTAACTTAAATCCATTTGAGTACATTACTTCATATAGTAGATAAAACAAATTAAATACTAAAAATAAGTCAATAAAAGCTGCCTCCAGGTGACACCTGTGACAGGTACGAGTGATCCGTCACCTGCATGGCGAAGTCGGTGGTCAGACATCCCACTCTGACATCAGCAGGAGTCGTCCAATCAGCCGATTCCATCTTCACCTGATTGATGTTACTGGGAGTGATCCAACCTCCTCCATCCTCCTCCTCAGGCTCATTCTCTTTGTCCTCATCATCTGAGTGTTTCTTTGCCTGCAGCGATGTGTTTGACCCGCTGTCCACTTGCTGCAAACACACCAACAGTAACAACGCAGTCGGCACCTGCTGCTGTCGGCCAGTCACAATTCGGATCAGCACCACTGTTTAATACACCATTTTTACCCTTCTTTATTATTCCCCGAAAACAAGCTTCACTGTAAATCACAATTTCGTATTACGATTAGTGTTCAGCCCTATTGTGTTATCATAGTAACTGGTGACAAGAAATAACTTCACTTAGAAAAGACAGTGCCATACATGACACCTGTTGAGATAACTTCACTTAGAAAAGACAGTGCCACAATCATACATGACACCTGTTGATCAATGACCTTGGATTATGCATTTGTTTATTTCGCTGTGTTTAAACTGACCAGTAAATCCAGCAGGCTGTCATCGAGAGATGCCACTGGTTCTCTCCAGAACTGGAAGCTGTTGAACTCTTCACTGTCCACTGTCACGAGACTCTTCTGCGTGTCCGTTGGTTTCTGTTTGTTGCTTGAATGTAAAACGTCCACTGGGTCCTGACAGAGCCAGAACAACGAGAACACATTTAGCAATACTGAACATTCTGCTGCAGAGTTTATTACAAACACAATATGAACATATCGTAGCTTTCCCTCTACAGCGGCAGCAGCATCAGTGTCTCCACTGTGAGGATTAGCTGCTTTGTCTGGTACATTTCTGTCGGTCGGCCTGGTGAAGTCCGCGCTGTCCTCCTGCTGACAGAGAGCTGTCCTGACAAGAGACGCTGTAGTTGGTGTAGACTTAACAGCTCAAACAGGAAGCGCATATGCGCCGCTCACGTCTAGTGAAGTCCCATTTTGAAGTTAGTAGTGGCTGAAACCCACCATCAAGTCCTCCTTTAAGTATTAGGCTACTAGTAACTTTAGTCCCACAATGAGCTGCACTAGCAGGTGAGTGAAAGAGCTGAACTGTGCATGAAATCTAACACACAAGAGCAGAAATTCTTCCTCAGAAGAAAAACTAAAGAACAGGCTAAATCACAAATGGCAACGCATGCACAGAATTCATACTTCAGCTGAACTGTAACAGCCTAACCATCATCAGTGTCATCATTATCATCACATTGACTGGTAGGCTACAGAGCGCTATAGAGCGCTACGGTGACTGTGTAAAAGGAGGGTAAGTGAGTGGACTACACGTTCTGTTACACACTGCCAAGTGACTTTAGCTACTTGCTAAATGTTCACACGCAGCGTTGTGTTTGACATCAGTAAAGTCAACTTCACCTGATGTAGAAAACACTAAAAATGCCACCTGCACGCCACAGACACCATCAATTGGCCAATTAGCGGTGTAGCTGCTGGACCATATAATGCAAATGTACTGTATATACTGACTTAAGGCTAGTTTTATTTGATAATCAGGTACAGTCACCTTTAACAGTGACAGCCTGTCTTAGGGTCTTATTAATGTCAGTCTTCCAGCCATAGTAGAACCGTGTGTCTGGTCAAATTTATGTTTATTACACAAACAGAGGCTGTGAAAGTGCGACTTGGTGTCGCACCTGTGATTTGGCCTTTAGGCCGTAGAAGCTCAAAGACATTGCCTTTCTACACGTCACCGATCAAAGTCAAAGTGGTCACAGTGGGAGTCTAACATTGCTCTGACCCACCAGAAAGTTCAGTAGGTCACTGTCGATGGATGGTAGTGGGTCTCTCCAGAACTGGAAGGTGTTAAACTGTTCAGTGTCGACTGGATTTGATGTCTCTGCTTGAGTGTGTCCGCTGCTCGAACTGTCCACAGGCTTCTGGAGAGACAACAAGGACCAGACACATTCATCCAGACTTGATATGTACTCTTCATGTTCACAGAAAAGATGATGACCACAGAGCTAAAACAGGCCTAGATAACTCAAACTGTCATCTTTGTTTACCTTGGAGGGAAAGTGGAATCCTGCAACATTAACAGGAGTCTCTGGGTGGCGCTGTGTGCTGTGAATATTAATCTGAAACAGAGATGCTTCAAATGTAACTCTCTGCTATAATTAGTCAGTAAATGAGTGTGAAGTAGCACAAAGACTGCAAGCAGGGGGAACCATTAGCCTAACTTAACACAATGACTGCAGGCAGGGGGAATCATTAGCCTAGCTTAGCACAAAGACTGCATGCAAGGGGAACCCTTAGCCTAGCTTAGCACAAAGACTGCAGGCAGGGGGAACCATTAGCTTAGACTAGCAAAAAGACTGAAAGGAAGGGGAATTATTAGCCTAGCTCCATCACACAGACATAAGTAATTTTCTGTCTTGCCCGGTCAGAGTAAAAGCCGCCGCTACATTCGTTTGACAGGTACCTTGACTTTCGGCTCCCTCTTTAGGTGCTGGGAGCCAACATGCTCCAGCTCCAGCTGGTAGGTCAGAGCCAGGACTTTGATATCAGTGGCTGAAAGACTTGGGTAGTCTCCGGTCTTCTTGGAGAACTCGGTCACTGAAAAAAGGAACACAACAAACTCAGTCTTTTTTAAATAGAGCTTTTTGGTACAACTGTACTTCAAACCCTAGAAACCATCTTGATGCAACAGCTGGCCCTGTGGTGCAGTCACAACAACCTGGAGCTGAACATGCTCAGAACAGTGGAGATGACAGTAGACTTCAGGAAGAGCCCCCTCACCATACTCAGCAGCACTGTATCAGCAGTAGAGTCCCTCAGGATCCTGGGCTCCACTATGTCCCAGGACCTGAAGTGGATGTCCAACATCAGCAGAGGATGAACTTCCTGCTCCAGCTCAGGAAATTCAACCTGCCACAAGAGCTGCTGATACAGTTCTAAGGAGTAATCATAGTGTCTGTTCTCTGCTCATCCATCACTGTCTGGTTTGGCTCAGCAACCAAACAGGACAGGAACAGACTCCAGCAGACAGTCAGGACTGCAGAAAGAACCATCAGTGCCAGGCTGCCCTCCATGGAGGACCTGTACACCTCATGGGTCAAAAGGAGGGTGGAGAGGATCACTGCAGACCCCTCACACCCCCTGATTCTGATGGTTAGTTACTTAGTTAAGCGATTAGATTTGCTGAATGGTATCAAACTAGAACCTACTGATGTGTTCAGATTAGTTTGGTTACCATGTCTGATGTGTTCAGGATGTGGTTCTTTGAAGATAAGCTCGTAGGGCAGGAAGGCCAGACTCCTCCTGGTGGGTTTATCTCTGATCTCATCCACCACATCTCTCAGTGTGTAGATGTTCCTGCCGATATCCTGCAACACAAACCAGCACAGCAGTGTTTTTTTTTTTTTTTAATTGTACTTCTTTTTTAAGATCAGGAAAACAGCTTCATGTTGGCAGTGGTCACTGTTGTCCAGAGACCTTTCACTTTTTCAAACAACTTCCACATTTGTCTGTGAGTTGTATACAGCACATATAATCTGTGACTGTGAATATCAAGATCAAAGATTTTTATTATCAATTCACTACATGTGCAGGACATACAGAAAAATCAAAATACTGTTTCTCTCTCACCTAATGCTGAATGCCCATATCATTTAAGAAACTAAAATAGAATAAAAGTAGAATAATACATAATAAATACAATATGAAAACTGAATAAAAGTAATAAGGATAAACTAAATGGTACAACCTAATAGGCTATGATGAAACTCAAAGCCATGTGCAAACAGTGACAGTAGTGCAAATAATAACAAAAAGATTGTCAGCAGGTCAGCATCACCAGGGGTGTTGGTGATGGTGGAATGCATAATAGCTTATGAAATGTACATGGACAACAGTGCAAATGACCAACAGCAGCAGATATGACAGTAAAAACAGTAGCAGGAGATTTACATGTAATATAACAAAAATGGGGAATGTACTGAGTTTGTGCAAACAGCAGAGGTAGTCTTTTTATATCTTTTTATGTTCTGTGGTGGGTTACAGTCCATGGGCACAGGGGGGGAGGTAATGGACAGCATTCAGCATCCTCACGGCTTGGTGGATGAAGCTGTTTGTAAGTCTGGTGGAGTGGGCCTGAAGACGCCGATACCTTCTCCCTGAAGGCAGGAGTCTGAAGTGGGAGTGTG